GATTATGGGTTCAAATCCTGATTAGGTTTGTCTGCACCATACCCTAGCTCATGGATGTCACCAAAGTGCTGAATCACATCTGTCTTTCCTTCCATGTAAGCAGTGTTTAAAACTCCCAAAATTCCAAGCCAGACAACCGGACTGGTAACTTAAAACATTACCAGTCCGGATACAAACTTGCCTGTCCGGTATTCCACAATAAAAAAAAATGTGACTGCCATTTCCAACTCGTGCAAGCTCTATTCACTGTTTGTAGGCAAACTATGAACCACATAGCACTAACAGGCAATGCAATGAGTTTAGGTAAACTGAAAGTACATGTGTTATGACTGGTTATCGTAACATAAACTGTACAATCGTATGTAGTTTAACATAATTTTCATAATACCTTAAACACCTCAAACTGACAACACGAGAACCTGTCTGATGTTATGAAATATTTACTCTTAGGGGGAAAAATATCTACCATACCACGGGGCAGGCTACTTTTGAAATTTGACCGTCCGAGATGAAAATAGACCGTTCCGGACGGTCGGGCAGGCGGGAATTTTAAACCCTGATGTTAGGCCGTCTTGCCATGATGTAACTGGAATACTGTTCAAAACAGCATCACACTGAGCTCAATAACTCATTCAAATCTGAATCTCACTGCAAACAGCTGCCACATTTCTTCTGTAATGTTAAAAATTACTCACTCAGATCTGAAAGCAGTCACATACATTTGTTGTGTTTTTCTATCAGCTTGACAGCAAGATTATGACAAGAAAAACTACTTTCCTGAAGCAGTTTCATACACTGTCCACTAACGAGAAAACATTGCATAAACCATTGAAAGAAGGCTACACAACATGTTGATTAAAGTGTTTTAGAAGGGATAGTGATAGTATCATTGACATGTTGGTGGTCAATGGCAGATTATTTGCAAACTTTAAGAGTAAGTTGAACTGTGTTGCTTTTTTCTTGAATTTTATGAACACATTTCTTCAACAAACAGTCAGTAAACTTGCCCCCTCTCTGTGACTTGAATTAAAAAGCAGATTGAGCTGAATTTATGTTAGTAAAAAATAAATATTGCAATGCATTAAGCTTTCCCTCGATTAGATTGTTCCACCAAAAAGATGTTACTTTTCTCTGACATGGGTTTAAAGTTAGTTAAATTGTCTTTTATTCAGGAATTGATAACTAAATGGATTTTTTTTTTCTCATTCTTTTTAGGAGATGCAGTACAAACAGAGATTAATTCCATTGTTATGTGCATGTTGCTCATATATATTTTATTTAGTGTCTACTGAACAATATTATCACTTAGAAGAAGACATTAGTACTTTCTTGATGGAGCTGAATTACAGGGAGGCATTTGGAAAATCATCAGTATGTGGGGACGGAAATGTTGGTGTTAAATTTGGCAAGTATGTGACTTGGGGAGATAATGAAGACTATTTGTCGTCATTTTTATTGATTCTATGCATGCTTCTGATGTTATCTGTTTTGATATTTATGTAACATTTCACTGGTTAATCCGTCCTGAGCAGTGGCTGTCTATCTACCAGTATGTCACTGTTTAACATATTAGCTTTTGGTAATTGTTTGAATGCAAACTTGAAACATTTATAACAGCTTGCATGCAATCCCTGACAAACAGATGGATTCAATAATGGACAGTGCTGAATCTACCAGGATATTCTTGTGTTCAATTGTATTGGTGGGATGATTCAGTCATAGAACAGAGTAAGCAGCTTAGGAGCTGACAGCAGCATCCTATGATGTCATCAAATCTTGTATAATGACCTCATGTACCTCCTGGGTACATCATGACCTCGCTGGGTGGATTATGGGGCAGATTATTGGGTCCCCAATAGCACGTTTGCTGTAAATATCTGGACTGATGTGGATTATTTGGTCCCCAATAGCATGTTTGCTGTAAATATGTGTATTGTAGCTAAAGTGTGTGAGTTGACTTTATGACATTGTTGGGCAGCACTGATTTGCCTGGTTGAGACTCAGTATTATGAGGCCCAAACTGTATCAGCTGAATATTGTTGATATATTGTTAGGCTCAAACTGTATAGCTGAATATTGCTGAAATATTGTCAGGCTCAAACTGTATAGCTGAATATTGTTGATATATTGTTAGGCTCAAGCTGTATTGGTGAATATTGCTGAAGTATTGTCAGGCTCAAACTGTATAGCTGAATACTGCTGAGTATTGTCAGGCTCAAACTGTATAGCTAAATATTGCTGAAATATTGTCAGGCCAAAACTGTATAGCTGAATGCTGCTGAGTATTGTCTCTCTCAAACTGTATAGCTGAATATTGCTGAAATATTGTCAGGCCAAAACTGTATAGCTGAATACTGCTGAGTATTGTCAGGTCAAAACTGTATAGCTGAATATTGCTGAAATATTGTCAGGTCAAAACTGTATAGCTGAATATTGCTGAAATATTGTCAGCCTCAAACTGTATAGCTAAATATTGTCAGATCCAAACTGTATAGGTGAATATTGCTAAAATATTGTCAGGCTCAAACTGTATTGGTGAATATTGCTGAAGTATTGTCAGGCCAAAACTGTATAGCTGATTATTGCTGAAATATTGTCAGGCCAAAACTGTATAGCTAATTATTGCTGAAATATTGTCAGGCCAAAACTGTATAGGTGAGTACTGCTGAGTATTATCAGGCCAAAACTGTATAGCTGAATATTGCAGAGCATTATCAGGCCCAAACCGTATAGCTGAATATTGCTGAAATATTGTAAAGCTCAAACTGTATAGCTGAATATTGCTGAAATATTTGTCAGGCTCAAACTGTATAGCTGAATATTGCTGAAATATTGTCAGGCTCAAACTGTATAGCTGAATATTGCTGAAATATTGTCAGGCTCAAACTGTATAGCTGAATATTGCTGAAATATTGTCAGGCTCAAACTGTATAGCTGAATATTGCTGAAATATTGTCAGGCTCAAACTGTATAGCTGAATATTGCTGAAATATTGTCAGGCTCAAACTGTATAGCTGAATATTGCTGAAATATTGTCAGGCTCAAACTGTATAGCTGAATATTGCTGAAATATTGTCAGGCTCAAACTGTATTTGTGAATATTGCTGAAATATTGTCAGGCTCAAACTGTATTTGTGAATATTGCTGAAATATTGTCAGGCTCAAACTGTATAGCTGAATAGTGCTGAGTATTGTCAGGCCCAAACTGTATAGCTGAATATTGCTGAAATATTGTCAGGCCAAACCTGTATAGCTGAATATTGCTGAAATATTGTCAGGCCAAAACTGTATAGGTGAGTCCTGCTGAGTATTGTCAGGCCCAAACTGTATAGCTGAATATTGCTGAAATATTGTCAGACCAAAACTGTATAGGTGAATATTGTTTGACTGTTGCATGGACAATTCACATGCTGACAATTTGACATGAATCACTGAAAGATACCATGGCTGTATTTCCCACACTGCAGTATTAACCCTTTCAACACCGCAGGCCGAATAATCGGCCACAACGTTATGAGTCCCCAGACAACGGAGGCCGATTAATCGGCCAGGCAGTAGTCACGTCAAAATGAGACATAATTTTAGGAACCTACCTGACTTTTGATTCATATATCAAATCTATCACATTTCACAATGTCTGAAAACACTTATTAAATTTCAATTTATCATATATTATCAGCAGAATTAAAATTATAAACTATTTTTCAAAATGTTATTGAAAACAACGATTCGGACACATGCTTCGCAGCGGGTCCACAATAACATTGTCAAAGAGCAAAGTACGCGATGTTTCGAGGAAATTATTAAATAAATTGAATAAACTAATGAATAAAATCAACAACAGCATTCATAAAGTTGTCAAACGTGCATATAAAATTACTATTTCCATCGTTTTGTGCGATCATGTAATGCAAGTCAAGTCACTGACAAGTGACATCGGCTCTCGCCGCCTCAATCTTCATTTCGGACACGATGTTTAATGCGAAAATACATACATGAAGCATTTTGCCACAGGTCATAACCTAGCACGATCGCCCAATAAGTTCCATAATTTAATACTATAGGTAGCGCATTTCTTGCTTAATATGTTCAGAATAGCATTATTTTACCCAAAACATTTGTCAAAATCTAAAAGTTTTCGTTTACGAGGCCCGGTATCCATTGGTAATATGATTGGCTGCCTTAGGTCAAATGTCTGATTTAAACCAATCCGACCCTTATAGCAGACTGTGAAAAGCGTCATTAGAAACCAATCTTTATCCAATAAAATCGCTTCTTACAACTGTGAAAATACTCTTGGCAAGGGTACAGTGATATTGTTGATGTTCAGAGCTTTATTCTAACGATGCCCAACATCAAACAATTTGCGCGCGCATGTTATTCATCTGAAGCTTTGCGGAGGTATTTTCAGTTGTTATGTCATTTTACCGGCGGAAAGCCACAGATATGTCGGAAATAGGCTTGACCGTACATATTGTTTAAGAAATCTTTTATAATAATTTTCTGATTACGTAAAATGAAAATATGAAAGGAAAAGGCACGGCCATGTTATGACATGTCACAAATGGAAAAAATCGCCATAGTTTTTGCTCCTTTCATTGGTTTATCTGGGCGTTATAAATGTAAGCTTGCATTTTCATTCAAATATAGATTTATTTAAGTTTTAGTTGTATTATTTGAATAATATTATAAAAAATAAACTTCATATTTATCAACAGTAGGATTAGATCTTTTAAATGGTGTATGGGATGTAGTAGCAATAACGTTTTACAAGCTTATAATTTCCTTCACAAACATAGGCTTCATCTATGACCTCAGAGTCTATGGGAACTCGGTGTCATGGCAGTAAATGCCTCTGGTTGACTGGTGTTGAAAGAGTTAAGGGTGTAATATTTCGGAAGAAGGCATTGGTTGTTTCTTGTATTTCTGGAAACCCCTTGATGTTGTGTAACCATGTGTGTAACCATGTGTGTAACCATGTGTGTATCCTTGTGTTGCAGGCGATCCTGCAGGACATGGAGAATCGGAGGGCCCAGCTGGACAGTGTCCTGAGTACCGCTGACCAACTGCAGCGGCAGACCAACAGCGAGAATGACCGCCAGATGCTCCGAGAAAGAGGTAAGTTCTTGTATAGAATTGAGATCAGGTGAACAAGCTTTAGAACTTGGCTGTTCTGTTCACAAACCTTGCAGTTGTGATTTGACATGGTCAGGTTGATGAGGCTTGGTGGCATGGCTGATGGGTGATCAGGTTAATAGATAATTCAGATTGGATGGTCAGGCTAGGTGATACGGCTGATTGGTGGCCAGGTAAGTGGTATGGCTGATTGGATGGTAAGACTAGGTGATACGGCTGATTGGTGGCCAGGTAAGTGGTATGGCTGATTGTATGGTAAGACTGAGGTGCCAGGTAGGTGATACGGCTGATTGGTGGCCAGGTAAGTGTTATGGCTGATTGGATGGTCAAGCTAGGTTATACGGCTGATAGGTGGCTAGGTAAGTGTTATGGCTGATTGGATGGTAAGACTAGGTTATACAAGGCTGATTGGTGGCCAGGTAAGTGGTATGGCTGATTGGATGGTAAGACTAGGTGATACGGCTGATTGGTGGCCAAGGTAAGTGGTATGGCTGATTGGATGGTTGGATGGTCAGAGACTAGGTGATACGGCTGATTGGTGGCCAGGTAAGTGGTATGGCTGATTGGATGGTCAGGCTAGGTGATACGGCTGATTGGTGGCCAGGTAAGTGTTATGGCTGATTGGATGGTAAGACTAGGTGATACGGCTGATAGGTGGCCAGGTAAGTGGTATGGCTGATTGTAAGACTAGGTGACATGAATGTTGCTCATCAACCCTGGATGGTTGGCTGATGTTCATGCTTTCATTCAATGTTTCTCCTGTTGAAGGCAGTAGTTATATAGCTGAATCTGTGATGAGATGTGGAATAACACCACTCTATATCATTCAGTAGGGTGACTCACTCACTTACTCACTGGTACACCCGGGTTTGTTTTTAATGACATGTTAATGATACTCCTGAACCTTCATTAAGTTAATGATTTGCTAATGACAGTATGACATCATTAAAACATTCATACAACATGGTTTAATGGTGGATTAGTTAATGATATAATGTATCAACAAAGATCGATACAATCCAGTTTTTATAGGATTAGAGTGAGTGAGTTTAGTTTTTTTATTACTGTAAATAATCGAGTCTGGACCAGACAATCCAGTGATCAGCAGCATGAGCATCAATCTGCGTAATTGGGAACCGATGACATGTGTCAACCAAGTCAGCGAGCCTGACCACCCGATCCCGTTAGTCGCTTCTTACGACAAACATGGGTTACTGAAGATCAATATTTTTACCCGGACCTTCACAGGTAATAGGATTAAGATACCTGATAACTTAAGGGTTATAGCACAAGTACACTTGACACATTCAGGGTTACAGCAGTACCTGACAGTGAAAGGGTTACAGTTTCAGCACGGCTGTAGAGGTAACCCACTGGTCTCCAGAACTGCTTTGTCTACACAAACGTTTCCCTACATTTAGAAACAGTTAAAGCTGTCAAGGATTTCTACACATAATTGAGGCCGGAGGGTGGAATTTTGAGTGCCTCTAATTTGAGGCCATTTTCGTTAAAATGATGCATTGAAAGACGCAGGAGTAGGGGGAAAAAGATGGTGTTTTGTGATGCGAAAAATATTGCAACAGGAACTATGCAGTTTAGAGAATAATTGGTGCAGTCATTTTCTGTAATCATTTGCTGGGATAGGGAGTTGGTCCTGCTGGCACAGTTTGAAAATTTGCTACAAATTGAGATTCCTAAATCACAGAGGATATCTGGGTGATTGCTTCTTGTCTGGTCTGAAGTAACTCGCAGATTAAGTCTATATTTTCTCTGTGTAACAATTTCAGATAATTACATTTTTTGGTGTGCTTTTGTAGGCCTGTTTAAAAACGTGTTATACGCCAGTAGGAATTGATGATACAATTTTATTCATTTTTCATTAACTTTTCTTTAGAATGTGTTCAAGCTTCTTGCCACTCTACAAATCTAGCTACAATTTCAGTGTTATCAATGAAGAATTGAAATGTTTTTTCTCTCCCAGTTTGTAACAGAACTCAAATCATTTCTGAAAGATTAAAAGAAAATAATTAATTGTAATTGTTAAGATGAAATCTTCTACAAAGTATAAGTACAGTTCTTGTTTTGTAGGAAGGCAGTAGTATAGCCCAGCAATTAAAGAGTGATTCCAACATACGGAGGGATCAAACCTGGGCCTAGATTTTCGAAGCTCTCTTAGAGCTGAGATAGTCGTAAGTTAATGTTAATGCATGGCACTTACGACTATCTTAAGTCTTAGAGAGCTTAGAAAATCTAGTCCCTGTGGTTGGAATGCAATGAACCCAGAACTTTTGAGTGATGAGTTATGAACCTAACCATATAGCTATCTCTGCTCACAATAGGAGGGGCCTGAGTGGATCTGCCCGAAATGGCAGCCTGTAATCAACTTGGCACCAGGGAACTAAGGGGTTGATAGCATGAACATCAATCCATGATAGGGGAGCAGTGATACAGAATCAGTGTCCAAATCCTTGTCAGTGAGTCCATGCAGTTAGGACTGGCGGAAAACATCTATTATCAGAAATATACTCATAGAAACAAATAAGGGAACACATGAAAGTACAAGTGTTCCTTTATTTATTTCCAGAATTTCACTCACAATGCCATACATACCTTGTTAAGAAACCTGGAAAAGAATAAAGGAACTCTTGTACTTTCATGTGTTCCCTTTTTTTTTCTATGAATATATCATTGATTAGAGGAAATATATTTATTATGGACATGAAATCGTGTAGATAATAACATCTATAATTAACTATTGAAATACAGTTTTAGTTTGTACACACAAAACACAAAGTTAAATCTTTATTCTTTAGCCTCTTCCAAATAATGTTCAAAAACCGGGATTTTTAAGTAGATCATGGATGAATGAGTCACCATGGCCATGAAATATGTTGCTAAGTTACTTTGACATTTATCAATAATCTATTGATATTTACTTAATGATTATCAATTGCTTTGATCAATATCAATAGCAATCAAACAAACAAACTTGTTTGCGCTGAAATCAATAGGAAGACAAGCATGGAGCCATGGAATACCAGTGGGGTTTGATTTGGTTTGGTTAGTGTTTAACGCTAAACGCAGCAATATTCCATCTATATGACAGCGGTCTGTAAATAATCGAGTCTGGACCAGACAACTGAGTGACTGGCGTCATGAGCATGACAGCAGTCTGTAAATAATCGAGTTTATACAACTGGGATGAGCATCGATTTATACAACTGGGATACGATGACATGTGTCAACCAGGTTGGTGAGCCTGACCACCCGAATCCTGTCAGTCGCCTCTTACGACAACATGGGTTGGTGAAGACCAATTCTAACCCAGAACTTCACAGATCCCCAATAGGGACAGAAGCATGTTCTGCAGGAGACCTTTTCTGTCCCAGAATCTCAGGGGAACCAAACATCCAAAAGCTGACATTCAGCGATCCTGATCTGACACTGAAGTATGTGATATAATAACACTGTCCAGTCATACGGTGCTGCCCCCATATAATAACACTGTCCAGTCATACAGTGCTGCCCCCATATAATAACACTGTCCAGTCATACAGTGCTGCCCCCATATAATAACACTGTCCAGTCATACAGTGCTGCCCCCATATAATAACACTGTCCAGTCATACAGTGCTGCCCCCATATAATAACACTGTCCAGTCATACAGTGCTGCCCCCATATAATAACACTGTCCAGTCATACAGTGCTGCCTGCCCCCATATAATAACACTGTCCAGTCATACAGTGCTGCCCCCCATATAATAACACTGTCCAGCAGTGCTGCCCTGCTATATAATAACACTGTCCAGTCATACAGTGCTGCCTGCCCCCATATAATAACACTGTCCAGTCATACAGTGCTGCCTGCCCCCACAGCGCCAGCAAAGGTTGCATCTATTTACTCAGTGTACTTGGAAATTATTCTATGGAATGTCAGAACTATTACATGTCAGAGTTATCATTACAGCATTATCATCGATGACAAAACCGGTGTGAACGTACATCCTTGCATCTCCTTTGTCAGTTAATCCTTTAAGAACATGTCAGAATCTGTGATTATGTTCGGTCCGTTAGATGGCTGTTATTGCCTGCTGGTTAGCGATGACCTTTGCTTTGAAATTTACACTGATCGGGATGCATTGTCAGTTGAAAAAACATGACTTGCCCCAGGATGCTAATTACTGGAAACTTTCTTCGTGATTTTCAGATGTCAGCTCAAATAGTGTCCTGTTGTATTGTATCATCACGTATTCAGTGAGCACAACAGACTTCTATCTTTGATGGGTCAATGGAATGGATTTTCATGTGATGTGTTTTTCATACTGTTCATTTGGACTTCTGAAATGAGTTTTTCGAGTATTGAGTGGATCTCAGTTTCAAGATTTTATTGATGTGAAGGATTTTATTTTGGAAGTGGGTTTAGTTTCATTAATGAATCTTGTTTTAGAGCAGAAGTACATTTTGTGTGTGTAAAAATGGGTTTAGTTTCAGCAGTTATTTATATTTTAAAGCATTGATGCATTTTGTGTCAGATATGGGTTTAGTTTCATAAAAGAGTCATGTTTTAGTGCCACTGATGCATTTTTTCTCAGAAACGGGTTTAGTTTCATGTATAAGTAATGTTTTAGAGTATTGATGCATTTTGTTAAAACAAAAACGGTATGTAACGGTTGGGTTTCAAAAAGTATTCATTTGATGACTACAGGGTTTCATAAAAATGTTATTGTGATATGGTGCGATATATTTATCTTCAACATTTTCACTTTTTAATAAACAATTTAACTCCAGATCATAATCTACATGCAGAAAGTAAAAGTATGTATAACTACATAATTAGCCAATTTTTTAAATTGTTACCCTCGTGATGTATTTAGGACAATGTATTTGACTTGTAGATGTAGATCTGTATGTTGAAACTGACACCTCCACTCTAATGTGGTGATTACCAGGAGGAGCAGGAATGTAGGTTGTACAGGTTGAGGAGGCTTTAGCATAGGTGGTCGTAGTTAGATGGGAGGGTGTGAAGGATGGGGCTGTATTGAACAGAACATAACCTGAACTTTATTTATTGGTGGTCGTAGTTAGTTGGGAGGGTGTGAGAGATGGGGCTGTATTGAACAGAACATAACCTGAACTTTATTTATTGGTGGTCGTAGTTAGGGAGGGTTCGGAGAGTGAGAAACATGGAGCTATATTGAACAGAACAGAACGCTATGCACTATGATTATAGTATAATTGCACTATATTTAGTGCAGGGTGTAGTTCTGAAACTTGTAATGTATTAATTGTGGGAAGAGATCATGGTACTGTTAGTTGTTGGAGGACTTGGTTTGTATCTACGATGTAGAGTTGTCTCCCTTGGTCTCACCAGTATATTATGCTCTTGGGTTCATATTCAACATTTGCCACAACTTTGATCCTTTGTCAAACTCTTATCCAGAAGCAGTGTCACTTCACGCTGTCCACCTAACTGATCTGACACTCTGTAATATACCTCTAATACTATGTACAGAGGTTTTACATCCAACTCATGAAGACACACAATATCCGTGTGGGGATTCAGGGTTAGAATTAGTCCCCAGCAGCCTGTGCTGGTCATAAGAGGCAACTTCATTGATAGTGTGGTCAGTTACCGGTCAGTTACTGGATAGATCGAGTGTCATCATACCTCAGTGATGTGCATCAGTGCTGACAGTATCTATCACTGGTGTGTCTAATCTCTCTCTCTCACACACACACACACACACACACACACTTACACGCTTACGCGCGCGCACACACACAGCAGTCATTTTGCTATTTTCAACAAAACTTTGTTCATTATGTAAAGTTCAGCTCTTGAATCCCCCGAGAGATCATCCATCTCACATCCAAGTCATAATTGCTTTGTGTTTGCTTTAGAGATTAAAAGGCAACACTTTCCTATTGTGTGATTTTTACAGCTGTCATATGTTTTGACATATCACCTTGAGACAATGACAAGCTCTCTGTGAACTTGGTGACAAAAATTCTTTTTGATGAAGTGATGCATGATGATGATAGCTCCCAGTGTAATCCGTGATTAGTAAGTAGTCTGCATGAACGACGCAACCTGAAATAGTCATATTGAATCAGTTCTAAACTGACACCATTCTGCATGGTTTCAATTAACAGGAGAAATAATAAAGTTTAGAAAAATACCAATGTCTGGTTTTGACAGAGAAATTCCAAAGCAAACTTCAGATTGATTTAGAGATTTAAATCAATGGCATAATTATTTGGCTTGAAATGTGCTTCATAATTATACTTTTTGAAACTGATCAATATTATTTCTATATTTGACAGCTAAGAGACTCCGTGAACATTGGGACGAGGCTTTCAGGAATGTCAATAGACGTAAGAACCTGCTCGATGATATGCTTCTTGAGTGCAGACAGTTTGACGAGCTGTATGCCGAATTTGAGCGATGGCTGTCACAGATTGAGGAGGAGCTGGATGCTCGTCCAATCAGGCCTGAGTCTCCAAATGATGTAGACAGACTTCTGAAGGAGCACAAGGTAGACGATGTTTATACATTTGTCAGATTTGTTCACATAGAAAGCATATCCGTTTTGATTATACATCAAAATCTGATATTCTTCATTCCACATTAAATGGTAAATGTTTATGCAATTGAGTATTTTAAAACCCTGTATTCCTCTGGTGTAACAAATAACTCATGCTGACAGTTTGAAAAGTTAAGGTGAGCTACAATGGCATATGGTATGATTTTTAAACAATCGTTATAATCTTTTAAATCCTTAGGTGTTAGTTGCTTCCTGCATAAAAAAAATAAGTTGCATAACTGTCTCATAAGGAATTGTTGAGATTATTAATGACTGGCAGGCATGTACAGGGTAAACAGTTCCTTGTTAAAAATGTCAGAGGGTGATGACATCTCTGTAACAGGTTTTTTCTGCCTTCCTCTATGATGATAGTAGTAGCTGGTGTATCAATTATTCAGAGCCCAGTTTCAAGATTAGTGTTTCATGGCTTACAGAAGCTGCAGGAGGAGGTGAACCAGCGACAGGATACCGTCGACAATCTCAAGCGACTGGCGGAAAAATTAATTGATGACTACAATCAGGATGACACAAGACAGGTTCGACTGCAGTTGGAGAGACTGACCAACCGATGGTCAACACTCTTGAACAGGTAAATGTAATGTAATATTACAATTTGATATTATAATGCTTTTGTATATTTATGAGATTTGTTCTTGATATTTCAATTTTTGTTTGACATTATGTCTTGCTCCCTGAGGACTTCACTGGCTCTGTTGAGTGAATGTGTTCAAAATGACTTTGAACAGTATTTAAACTTAGGATCATAATTTAAGGAAGGATAAAATATATGGATGAACACCTTTTTACAATCAAGGATATGTGTAGAGTATGGTTGAGAGGCATCTATACAAGTATGAGAGTGTGTTTTTACACTTGATTGAATAAGGATGTAGTTTCATTAGAGTGGAGATGCCTGTATGGTACACAATGTGGGAGATCTAATGTATAACAGTCCTAACAGGTGAAGCCTGCAGTTTAAACAAAATTGTGATGATTATGATAGTAAGCTCAAAGTTGGTACATGGCTTGATAACTGTGTTGGAACCTTCACCAAAAATTGGCTCCTTATTAAATTAGAGAAGTGGTTCATCCATATACCTTATCCACCTTTGGTACTCCAAGTTCTGAAGAAGGTCATGATACACACAAAATGGGTATGTGAACCACACCAGCAGATCCAGACACACCTATGGGATTCCTGAAGTAGCAGCTCCTGGGTCTTCGTTAATAAACATATGGGCTCTGTTCACAGGCTTCGTGAATGAGAAAGGTCCATGGTGTGTTTTGCAGTGAAACTGATTTCGTTGAGATGTTGAAAAGCTTAGTGAAAAGTGTTCACGTGTGGTTTCACCAATTTCAAGTTTGGTCTCAAACCTTCCACCTTCCACACGACTGAAGATCTTGCCAGAACAAAGGTCACACTCTTGTCTTGAACTGTGGTGAACACTGTTTGAATCAAATGAATTAGTGAATGGAACATGGGTATTGGTCTGTGTAATGCCCGAACGAGTGTCCTGAGGGATGACAAAATGAAATGTGTGTTAAATGTTACTGACAGCAAGCGCCAAATCACTGTCTCATGTAAGCCCACGTGTGAGTTGGTTCACCTGATCTTTCTCTACATTACAGTTCTGTCCTTGGAAAGATTGATGATGTTAAAAGTTTAATTTCAAGGTTGTCTGGTTGCATTTGAATCCATTTTAGGCTAGGATTGCTTCGTCAGGAAATATCACAGAAATTCCTCTCTGGAAGTTTTGAAAGTTATGACAATGGTTTATGATCGGTCAGTGTTCTCTTTGTTCTTCGTTCAGTTCTTTCACATGATGGGTTAAAATTCAAGAAATATTGGATCTGTAATTATATTATAGTGCATGGATATGTATTGTGGTGCCACTGTCTCCTACATTGGCCAATGTCAGCAGTCAGTTAATGCATATTGGCAGCTGAAAAGTGTTTTCGATTTATGTTACTGTATGGTATATACTAGACTAATGCTTAGTCTCTGAATATATATAATTTTGATAGTAACAAACAAGCCCATTTGAATTGAAAAGGAGCCCCAGGGAGACCAGAGATTCTGAACCTGAGTAAATCTAGACTTGCCTTTTTTAGGGCTTTAGCACTGCAGAGAGGGCTTGGCAGTAAGGAAAATAATGTGGTTCAGGGACTGTGAGACAGACTAGGTATATACTGATGGTAACAAGTTAGGGAAGTGTAAGTGTTCCTATAGTCTGTTCCAGGTTTCTTCACATGCCTTGTATTTCACAGTGAGTGCAAATCTTGGAATAAACAAAGAACTAACATTTCCATGGTTAAGAAGAGCAATGAGAAGGTATTTCTTTTACCAGTAATCAATATTTAAACATGTCATCATACTTCTGAATCAGTATATTGGTACTAAAATTTCCAATCAATGACACCTCTCATGATTGAATGGTTACAACATGAGACTGGGTTCAAAGCCTGGCCCAGACTTGGTTATTTGCAGTCACAACAGGGCTGCAGTATTGGTGCTCTTGCCATCAACCACTATTCCGCCTGGCCCAGACTTGGTTATTTGCAGTCACAACACGGCTGCAGTATTGGTGCTCTTGCCATCAACCACTATTCCACCTCGCTCAGACTTGGTTATTTGCAGACGGGTGTAGTATTGGTTATTTGCCATCAACCACTTTTCCACCTAACAGACTTGGTTATTTGCAGTCACAACACTGGTGCAGTATTGGTGCTCTTGCCATCAACCACTATTCGGCCTGGTCCAGACTTGGTTATTTGCAGTCACAACACGGGTGCAGTATTGGTGCTCTTGCCATCAACCACTATTCGGCCTGGTCCAGACTTGGTTATTTGCAGTCACAATACAGCTGCAGTATTGGTGCTCTTGCCATCAACCACTATTCCACCTGGTCCAGACTTGGTTATTTGCAGTCACAACACGGGTGCAGTATTGGTGCTCTTGCCATCAACCACTGGTCTTTCATTGATGTTTAAGGACAATACAGTTTGAATATTGGTGCTCTTACTGTCAACTATCGGACTATCTCGCTCAGACTACCAGTTGTATATTTTCAGCCACGACATGACTGCCGTGTTGTTGCTCTTGCAGTTCACCACTAGTCTAACTTGGATGCTTAGTGACAATATGGCTTGAATATATGTACTCTTGCTGTCATCTGTTGGACCATCTTGTCCAGACTACCAGTGCAGGGGTGGAAATAGCTTTAAAATTGCTAGTGTACTCCGGTACAGTGGCACATGTAAAATCACTTGCCCTGATAATTTTTCCACTATACCGTCCGTTTTCTTGTTGATTTTTAAAATAAACAACATAATTAATATTGGAAAGTCAACTGGACACCGGTACAGTGTGATATACAAATTTGCTTGCCCGACAGAAAAAAACACTGGACTCGGGCATCAGGCAATAGGTTATTTCCACCCCTGCAGTTATATACTTGTATTTACAGCCCCAACATGGCTGCAGTGTTTGTGAGTGCAGTATTAACATGAACTAAGTCACTGTAAATATTCAACACATCCTTTCATTGAGGAGATGGACTGGAAGGTTGTGATGGCAACAGCAGCACAGGAGTCCGTTATGGTTAAATATAATCTTTCACTGAATCCTAAATCAGATGAATTGCTAAACAGTACTAGGTCCTTTTGATAAGCTATGATGAGATTTAAAAGGGTATTACAGAGATTTTTTAACAAGCTTTCTCATCAAGGTGAGATATTATCCAGTGATTAGATTTCTCAGTGTTCAGTCCATTGTAGCAGGTTGTCTTTGATAGAGTGTTTTTATGATGTTGAAGTTGATTGGATTTCACAGATTGTGGAGTTTGTTTTACAGTTGTGGAGGATTTATGTTGGACAGAGTCCAATCATTACATTAATATTTCAACAGGTAAAGATGGGGTTGTGAGAGAGGCAACACAGGATGATCCTGCTCAACTGCATCAGGGGGGTATGGGGAGCTTGTTATATTAACCACATTGTTTGATGTGGTGGGAGGGGGGTATGGTTTTACGCCGTTTTTAGCAATATTCCAGCAATATTCCAGCAATGTCACGGCGGGGGACACCAGAAATGGGCTTCACAAGTTGTACCCATGTGGGGAATCAAACCCGGGCCTTTGGCATGACGAACCAACGCTTTTTTAACCACTAGGCTACCCCACCACCCCTTGATGTGGTGGGAAGGGAGGGGAGGGGGGTATGGTTACTTGTTATATAAAATTGTTGTTATGATGATTATCATCACTTTCATTATCATCATTGTCTTCACATTATCACTGTTGTCATCACAATAGACAGCATTATCATCGTCATCATCGCCAGACCAATAGTAGTTGTAGTGGTGGTAGTATTAATGGTACATGTAGTTGTTTTAGTAGTAGTGGTGGTCATAGTAGTAGTGGTAGTGGTAGTAGTAGTAGTGGTAGGGGTAGTAGTAGTAGTAGTAAAGTGTCATGGCATCCTTGTTTACACAGGGCGGTGAGGTAACCTAGTGGTTAAAGTGTTCGCTCATGATGCCAAAGACCCAGCTTCGATTCCCCACACGGGTACAATGTCTGAAGCCCATTTCTGGTGTCCCCCGCCATGATATTGCTGGAATATTGCTAAAAGCAGCGTAAAACCAAACTCACTCACTCACAGTTTCCATAGTAACTAGTGCTCAGATAGTTGTGGCAACAAGCACTGGAACAATGTCTAGCCCATTACTTGTTCCCCTCACATGTTGGAACTTGAATATCAGCTCTAGTTTGTATAGCCACACTCTCCACACTGACATTACTTAGTGTCAAACCAAATGTGTGTGTGTTTGTTGTTTAATGCAATCAGCAATATTCCCACATTTTGTATATGACTAGTTGGGGCGGCGGGGTAGCCTAGTGGTTAAAGCGTTGGCTTGTCACGCCAAAGATCCGGGTTCGATTCCCCACATGGGCACAATGTGTGAAGCCCATTTCTGGTGTTCCCCGCCGTGATGTTGCTGAAATATTGCTAAAAGCAGCGTAAAACTAAACTCAGTCAGTCAGTCAGTATATGACTAGTCAGCCTGTCATAGCTAGTATGTATTGCAACACAGCCTTCCAGTTTGGGTGTTCCTTAACTAATTTAGAGTAGTATATCTCTTGTAAGACGCTGTTACCTCAGTGATGAAAGGTGCTAGCATACCATCATGGTCTTCATTAAGTGACATCCAATCCAGACTACTAGCCACAACAAACACCTGCCAAGTCCACATCTTCGCCAGGCAGGGAAACATTGTGTAACATTCTCCAGGGTCAGCTGTCATAACATGCCGGTGACATGCCACGCACATGCGTAAGGTCAACACGACCCCACATGCATGTACATTCAAGCCAGGTAGGTGCCAGGCAGCCATGGTAGAAATGTCACATGTGGTGTGTGGTGTTCCTGGGGTAAACACATGGAGTATACTTTACTATGCTCTTTGTGGATTAGCTCTACTTTATCTTAGACCTGCATACTATGTGAATTAGCTTCTCGGGACCTTTGTTCTGACATTTTTTAGTATTATAATGAGAGAGCAGGTAGCATGATTTATTGCTTCTGCCTTTTG